TTTAGTATGCTATCTAGATTTGCCTTAGCTTTCCTCCCCAGGAGCAAGCGTCTTTTAATTTCTTGGCTGCAGTCCCCATCTGCAGTGATCTTGGAGCCCAGGAAAATAAAATCTGTCACTACCTCCATTTCTTCCCCATCTACAGTGGTACCTCGGCTCATGAACGCCTCGGCTCATGAACAAATTGGGTCACGAACAAAAATTACTGAAAATTTTGACTTGGGTCGCGAACACCGCTTCGGGTGCCGACCAAGATCGCAGCCATCTCCCTCTGCCCCCGAGTGGGGAGAGGGCCGTGATCCCAGTTCCATTTGTGCAGGGAAGGCTTTCCTGGTCAGAGGCGTGCTGCTGCAGGAAAGACGGGAGCAGCAACGCAGAGCCGCGGGGGAGACGGCCGAGATTGCGCCTGTCTTTCCTGCAGGAGCCGCCTCTGACCAGGCACGCCTTCCCCGCACGAACGGAACGGCGATCGCGGCCATCCCCCCACCCCCAGCACAGCGTCTGCGCCCATCTCTCCCTCCCCCAGTGCGCCCACGATCATGCCCGTCTCTCCCCGCCACCCCCAGGGCACTGGGGTGACAGGCACATGCAGGGATGACAGGCGCGGTCTCGGTCGTGCTGGCGGGGGGGGGGGGAGATGGCCACGCTTGTGCTTGGGGGGGGGAAGGTCGCGATCTTTGTTGTTGTCACTTTGCTTCACATTTTTCTGATTTAAAAAATGGTTACAGAACAAATTAACCTTATTTCCGTTGACCCTTATGGGGAAATTTGACTTGTCTCATGAAGGCTCACTTCCTGGTTGCTGTGAGATGACAAACTGCAGGTTGTGGTACAACCAAAAAGACCTTTGATAATCTTAATGATTGCACAGGTCTGTACTGGGCAAAGTGATCCACCATGTAACCTGGTCCCAAGATAAGCTGGGCTGCCAAGGCAACGAGGTCTTTTCACAGGGTGTGGGCAGTTGCCTTTACACTAGTGCATCCATTAAGCATCCTGGCTGCTGCCTTTTGAAGCATGAGAGTTGTCCCACATATCCTGACTCCTAGAACCAGTGCAGTGTTTTAGTTAAAATGTTGGACTTGGACCTGGGACATTCAGATTCTACTCCCCACTTAGCCATGAAGCTCACTGGGTGATTTTTCTGGGCAGTCACAGACCCTCTGTCCAATCTACCTCAAAGGGTTGTTCTTGGGAGGATAAATCAGAGCCATGTAAGCTACTTTGTGTTCCTCACAAGAGGAAAAAAGGTGGGATAGAAATGAATATAATAATAGTATTTTAAAACTTTCAGGCTGATGTATTCTCTAATGTACTTTTAGTTGTTATTTACTATTGTTATTACACATATTGTTAAACTGCTTGAAAAAATTACATTGAAAGCCTAGATTAAAATGAAATAAAAACTCTCTTTACAGAAGCATATCTCATCATTCAGTCTATCAGAACCATTAACTAAGTGTTGAACTATATTGTATTGCGGTCATAGACGTAGGCCATCTAGTGCAACTAGTTAAAGCTGATTTTGCACAAGACAAACTAAACAGCTTTTAACAGCAAACTCATGGTACTTTTGCTTTCACTTTTTAGAAGTTTCTTTTTTCACAGAGACAAAACTAGAAACTTTTATCAGACACAAAAGTTTGAGCTGGCACAAAATTATACTCTGTTGAGAGAAAGGCATTTTTTCCTCTGTAAGTATTTGCAGAGAATGGGGGTAGGTACCAAAATTGGCTCCTCCTTGCAACATCCTGGTTGGGCATCCATGCATAAGCCTGATTATAAGTAAAATTACGACTTAATGTACTTGGTCTTCCAAAGCCAAGTCCAATAGGATAACGATTCAGAAACCCAAAAAACAAACCAGTTAAAGAAACATCAGCTATACAACCAAGCAAGCAGCTAGAACAAGGATGTAAACGTTCTATGCTTATTACCTTCTCTTAATAATCTCATACAGATCAACATTGAGGCTCTAACAAAAAAGAAGACCCCCTGCAACCCCCAATCAGCTGCCACTTGCAAAGGAACAGAAAATAAGAGGCATGATTAAAAGAAAAAACAGTTTCGAGGAGTAAGAAAAGCTGTTTAGAGACCACCTCGTAAAGTGGTAGGATGTAACCCCATTGCAACCTTTATCAATGACGTCCTCCAGATGTTTTTAACTACATTTCCCAGAATTCTTGGTCATGCTGACCAGGACTGATGGGGCTTGAAATCCAGATCATGGGGAGGGGGGAACCAGGCTGGAGAGGGTGCCCTTCCTCCATTGTTTCACCGTCCCGCCCATTTCTAAACTGCAAGCCTGTCCGACAAAGACCGGCGGGCACACGGAGGGCCTTCGCGGTGCCCCGCGAAGCATCGCCGTTTGCCCCTGCACTGGGCGTGGGCGCCTGCCAGCGGCGGACAGAAGCCCCGGCAAGGGGCGGCGACGGGAGGAGCGCGATCCCGGGCCCCGCATCCCCCCGGAGCGGGGCCCGAAGGGCGAACGCGATCCCGCGCCGCGGGGCGGGGCCCGAGGAGTGAGGCAGCGCGCCCCGTCGTCATAGGAACTGGCGCCCCCTCCCCGGCCGGCCTCTCACCTTCCCACTGTCTGGTTGGCGAGCTGCTTCATGCGATTGAACTGCTTCTTCATGATGGCGAAGGGGGCGCGGCGGCGGCGGCGCGGCGGCTCTGGCGCTGCTGCTTCCTTGCCCGCACACCGAGGGCGCCGCCTCCGCCGTCACTCGCGCAGCCCGGCTTCCCACCTCACCGCCCACCGGAAGCCGCGCCGCCACTTCCGGCGCCCTGGTCACGTGGGGCCCTCCCGGAACGCCCCGCAGACGTGTGGCGGCGGCGGTCACGTGGCGCGCGAAGAGCGGCGGGGCCCCGGCGGGCCCCTTTCCCTGGACGGCGAGGGGGACGGGCAGCGTGCTCGCCGTGCACTGCTGTGGCCCTCTGCCGTCCGCGGCGGGCGAGCGGGGCTCGGCGGGGAGGCGCCCCCGAATGAGGCAGCCATATGGTGCGGCTTGGGCCGCACTGATGGGCGTTTCACGTCCAGATCCCGTGAAGTGCTAGCTCCCCTTTCCTGAGCGCTGGTTAGGCCTCATCGGGAGTACTGCGTCCACTTCTGGGCAGCAGACTTAAAGAAAGATGCGGGCAAGCTGGAAAGGGTTCGGGGAGGGCAGCAAGGATGACCCAGGGAGTGGAAGCTAAGCCCTGTGAGGAGAGATGGAGAGAGCTGGGCGTGTTTAGCCTTGAGAAGACTAAAGGGAGACAAGAGAGCACTCTACCAGTACTTGAAAGGTTGTCACAAAGGGGAAGGGCAGAATAACTTATGGATCATCCCAGAGTGCAGGACATGGAATAATGGGCTCAAGTAACAGGAAGTAAGGTTCTGGCTGGAGATCGGGAAGTACTTCCTGACTGTGGGAGCAGTATGACAATGGAACCAAGGACCTGAGGAGGTGGTGTGCTCTCCCACACTGGAGGCTTTCACAATGCAGCTGGACAGCCCTCTGAGAGGGATGGTTTAATTCAGAGTCCTGCGCTGAGCAGGGGGTTGAACCTGATGGCCCTCTGGCCCCTTCCAGCTTTATTAAATGATTCTTTTATTTAACATTGATATTTGAATATTTTTCATATTATACTTTGTATTATATAATATAACTTTGAAGGTAGGTGCCCGAGCTCCCATCATTGTTGGCAGAGACAGATCTGGGTTGAACACCAGCCTAGCAAGTTAGTCTGCTACTTCTCTGCCCCTTACATCCATCCCAGTCTGAGCTCCCAGCCCTGAGTGGACATTCATAGGGTTTCAAGCCAGCATCTTATATTTCAGTGTCCCAGACCTGAAACTGTGATATTAACCAAGCAGAAAGCTCTAGAGTTTGTACCAAGGTTTAATTGGAATAAAACACAGTCAATTATGATAGGTACAAAAAGGGAAGCAGAGCAATTCTGAGAAATAGTACTTTACAGGAAAAACAACAAAGCTGACTTGACAGTATATGTACCAAGGCAACAGAAGCTTGGACACCACCACCCTTGAGCAAACAAGGGGAAGAGCCCAAGGAACCCTGCAAACACAATGGGCTTCAGCAGCCTCACTGCTTTAATGCCCCAAGACCTGCCCCAAGGTTGGTTCTCAGGAGCCAATCAAGCCAAATGCAACGGTTTTCTCCCATGGGGTTGCAGAAAGTTCCCACAGATGTGGCTGAACCAGTTCAGCCCATGTCCAGAGAGTGCTGCAATGCCTTGAAAGCCTGGGGCATGTCCGGGGGAATGCGCACAGGTGGCCTAAGGAACACCTGCAGCCTCTGCCTCACCTGCCTGGACTTCAGAGTTCTGAGGCACAGCAGGCAAGTGAATTCTCGAGAGATGCACATTCACAGCATTCCTGCACACCTGTGTCTCAACTCACATTTTCGACTGCGATACTTAGCATCATTGCTGCTTTAGATGGTGCCTGTTCTTTCTCCATAGTTGCATTTACATTTGGCCTTTTGCCCGCAGAATTCAAGGCATAAAGCCGTTTCCTGCACATTTTATTCTCGCTCATCGAGAGACTCCTGGGGGCGTGCGCTGCTTGGTTCTCTCCAGAGCACTCGGACAGGGTAGCCTGTTAATAAACGCTGGTACGTACTCCAGACTCGTAGTTGGGGGAGCTGCCATCCTCGGCCGCCACCAGCGCCCCCTTCCCTGCGAGAAGGCTGAGCTGGAACCGACAGGCCTGCACGGTCGGGTGGGGTCGCGCCCAGCCACTCCCGCGGCCCCTCACCCCTCCGCCCGCCCGATCCTCCGCCGCACCTCCGAAACTGCAGTTCCCACAATGCCCCAGCAGCGGGCCTGGCAGGCTGCGCGGGCCGTGAGAGGACGATTCCCGGAGCGTCCCGTGTCTGCGCCGCTCGGCTTCATCCGATTGGCCCCTGCCGGGAGTGACTGCAACGCCGGCCAATAGGGAGAGGCGAAGAGGCCGGCTAAATGCGCGTAGAGCCGCCAGCGGGCGGGGAGGGGGCCGCGCCGGTATGGGCGGCCCGCGACCGTCTCCCCCGTGCTGACGCCGCCGCCGGCTCGTTCTCCGCCCAGCCATGGCCGGCACCTCCCGAGACCCGCTCGGCGCCGACGTTTCCGACGAGGCCGTGAGGGGCACCTGCGACGACGCCTCGCAGTGCAAGCGGTGAGGGCGAGGGGCCTCGCCGGGCCTTAGCGCGCCGCTGCCCGGCGCTCTGCTGGCGGCGGCGGCGGCGGCCCGCCCACGGTGGGTGCGCGCGGCTGTGCCGGCGTCCTCGCTGCATCGGGGCCGCCGCGGCCGCTGTCGCTTGGCCTCGCTCCAAGCCCCGCACTGCCTCCCGGGCGCCCGAGGCTCCTGCGCGGCCCCGCGAAGCCCGCCTGGCCCGCGTCAGCCGAGCAGCGCGTTCCACCCCCGCGGCCAGCCGGAAGCCCGGTAGCTCGCGCTCCCCTCCCACCCGGTTTCCCCAACGGCTGCGCCTGAACACGGGGGTCCCTTTCTTGGATCTCTCGGTAAATAGATGGTAAAGGCTGCCCAACACAAACCTGGCCAAGAACGGCCTGGCTGCCGCAGAGCAAAAGTTCTTTGCCATTTGGCTCCCTGCTGGGGCCATTCAGGTGCCCCTTGAAGCCCATGAACGCAGCAACAGCAGCCTTTCCTGCTACCAAGGAAAGTGAGCGCGGAATTTTCATTTACCTGCCCAAAAAGATTTCTGCTGGATCAGACCATAAAGTTCCTCTATCCCAGCCTTCCCCTGCCTGAGGATGCCTTGCACTACAACTCCCTGCATTCCTGACTATGGGGTATGCTGGCTGATGGGAGTTGAAGATCTTTGGAGTGCGTCAGGCCAGCCTTTGTTTCCAGAAGCGGACAGCCAGATGCTTTGTAGAGTGCTCTGGTAGGGTCTAAAGATGACCTTCCTCTGGCAGTTGCATTCTATTATCCAGGGACAGGCTATCCCTGCGCTGTAGGTTCTGTTCTTATGTAGTCTGTCTGAATGAGCGTCTGCTGCATCAGACCTTCAGTCCATCTATTTTTTTTAAGCCTCTGGTCAGCAGATACTTCTGGGAATCCTACTACATGCATGGTACAGAGACCCTGTTTTCATGTGCAGTTTTCGTCCCCAGTACTTGTGCAACCCACGGAGTGAATTTCTGTAATTCTCTGTGAGTGTATAAGGATCTCCATTCTGGTTAGTCTTGTTAAAATGGCCTCTATCTCTTCCTTGGTCAGCTATGCTGTAAACATTGGTTACTGGAAGGATCCTTATATTGAATTCTTTGTGAGACAGCCAAAAGAAAAGAAGGCACCTGAGATCAGTCGTGGTAAGTTTTAAGCAATATGAGTTAAAACTGCATTTGTTCTCCATGAGCATGTGAGGGGCGAGGGCAGGGAAAAGTTTTTTGTCTACTGGTTCTGCCACCATTTAAAAAGATGTACTGAAGATTGAAGTATGTGTTAGTCACTATTGTTGTTAGTCACAAAGTCGTGTCCAACATCACGACCCCATGGACAACATTCCTCCAGGCCTTCCTGTCCTCCTCCATCCCCCAGAGTCCACTCAAGCTCACACCGACTGCTTCAGTGACTCCATCCAGCCACCTCATTCTCTGCCGCCCCTTCTTCTTTTGCCATCTATTGTTCTCAGCATTAGGCTCTTCTCCAGGGAGTCCTTCCTTCACATTAGGTGGCCAAAGTATTTGAGTTTCATCTTCGCTATCTCACCTTCTAAAGAGCAGCCGGGGTTGATCTCTAGGACTGACCAGTTTGATTGCCTTGCAGTCCAAGGGACTCACAGGAGTCTCCTCCAGCACCACAATTCAAAGGCCTCAGTCCTTTTGCACTCAGCCTTCCTTATGGTCCAGCTTTCACAGCCATACATTGCACCTGGGAAAACCATAGCTTTGACTATACGCACTTTTGTTAGCAGGGTGATGTCTCTGCTTTTTAGTATGCTATCTAGATTTGCCGTAGCTTTCCTCCCCAGGAGCAAGCGTCTTTTAATTTCTTGGCTGCAGTCCCCATCTGCAGTGATCTTGGAGCCCAGGAAAATAAAATCTGTCACTACCTCCATTTCTTCCCCATCTATTTGCCAGGAAGTGATAGGACCAGATGCCATGATCTTATTTTTCCTAATGTTGAGTTTCAAGCCAACTTTTGCACTCTCTTTCACCCGCATCAAGAGGCTCTTTAGTTCCTCTTCACTTTCTGCCATGAGAGTGGTATCATCTGCATATCTGAGGTTGTTATTTCTCCCAGCAATCTTAATTCCAACTGGAGATTCATCTAGCCCCGCCTTTCTCATGATGTGCTCTGCATATAAGTTAAATAGGCAGGGCGACAATATACAGCCTTGCCGAACTCCTTTCTCAATTTTGAACCAATCAGTGGTTCTGTGTCCAGTTATCATTGTTGCTTCTTGACCCATATATAAGTTTCTCAAGAGACAAATAAGATGGTCTGGTACTCCCATCTCTTTAAGGACTTACCACAATTTGTTGTGATCCACACAATCAAAGGCTTTAGCATAGTCAATGAAGCAGAAGTAGATGTTTTTCTGGAACTCCCTAGCTTTCTCCATGATCCAGCGTATGTTGGCAATTTGATCTCTAGTTCCTCTGCCTCTTCGAAATTCTGCCTGTACTTCTGGTAGTTCTCGGTCCACATACTGCTGGAGCCTAGCGTGTAGGATTTTGAGCATCACTTTGCTAGCATGTGAAATGAGTGCAATGGTGCGGTAGTTTGAACATTCTTTGGCATTGCCCTTCTTTGGGATCGGAATGTAAACTGACCCTTTCCAATCCTGTGGCCACTGTTGAGTTTTCCGAATTTGCTGGCATATTGAGTGTAGCACTTTAACTGCATCGTCTTTTAGGATTTTGAATAGCTCAGCTGGAATACTGTCGCCTCCACTAGCTTTGTTGTTGCTCACACTTCCTAAGGCCCATTTGACTTCACATTCCTGGTTGTCTGGCTCGAGGTCAGTGACCACCCCATCGTGGTTATCAGGGACATTAAGCTCTTTCTTGTATAGTTCTTCTGTGTAATATTGCCACCTCTCCTTAATCTCTTCTGCCTCTGTTAGGTCTCTGCCATTTTGGTCCTTTATCATGCCCATCTTTGCATGAAATGTTCCCTTCATATCTCCAATTTTCTTGAAGCGATCTCTGGTCCTCCCTATGCTATTGTTTTCTTCTGTTTCTTTGCACTGTTCATTTGAGAAGGCCTTCTTATCTCTTCTAGCTGTTCTCTGGAATTCTGCATTCAATTGGGTGTATCTTTCTCTTTCTCCCTTGCCTTTCGCTTCCCTTCTTTCCTCAGCTATTTGTAAAGCTTCCTCAGACAGCCATTTTGCTTTCTTGCATTTCTTTTTCTTTGGGATGGTTTTTTAGTTGTTGCCTCTTGTACAATGTTGCAAACCTCTGTCCATAGTTCTTCAGGCACTCTGTCTATCAGATCTAATTCCTTAAATCTATTTGTCACCTCTACTGTATATTAGCCACTATTATCTGTGTCTAATAATACTGTTTTTCTATAGGATATTACGCTCGTGTCCAGGGAGTTGGTCACTTACTTAAGGCTTTCTTACAGAAGACAGAATGCAACTGTCAAATTATAAACCTTGGTGCTGGCATGGACACCCTCTTCTGGAAATTGAAGGTAAACCCCCTTCTGGTGGTGCCCAAGTGCAAACAACCGCTATGTGACTCCTGGGTGACCTCTAGCGGTTCCTTTCCTTTTTAAAATTCTCCCGCGCTCGCTCACTCGCTCGCTTGCTCGCTCTCTCTCAGAATGATTTAGGAGCAGTATTTTTCACTCTTGTGTTCCTTGGGGTCCTGGGGACAACAGCAATAGGCAGTACTTTCCTGCAATATGGATTGTTCTTCCTCTGACTTTCTTTTCATTGGAAGTTGCAGGCTCACATGGGTAAAGACCCAAGTCAGCATTTCTGCCTGTTTTCCACATGCAATGACAGCCCAATTTAGAGTTAAAATATGTTCCAGAATCATTTGCAGGACACAGCACTTCCTATCATAAGCCAGCATAGGAAGTGATCCAGAAAATATCAAGCTTGCAAGGCTGATGAGTTATTGAGCTCCACCACCTGCATGGAAAGCTAAAAGCCAGGATTTTTTTTCTTTTCAGGATGAGAATCTGCTTCCTAGAAAATATTTTGAAGTTGATTTTCCATCTATAGTCACACGGAAAATGCACTACATAAAGTAAGTACATGTGTGCTGCACTTGACTTGGGCCCAAGTGAATATTTTTTGTTTTATGGGAGGAAAGTACAACTGGAAGCAAACACTTGTTAGTTGTGAACAGCAGTTCCAAAACGGTTGCATTGCCTTGCTGAAGTGCTAAAAGCTGAGATGGTGTGGGCAACGGGTGGTCCTCCCAGTCATTTGGCCTGCCGCTTAAATCGTCCCTCAGCCATGTCTCTGCTGGGTAGGGCTGATGACAGTTGTAGGCCAGACATCTGGAGGACCGCACCCTGACATAAGGAAGGATGAGGACAGGGAGCATAAATGCACAGACGTCAGTGAAGAGCTAAGGTTTCTTTGGCACCCAGACGTTTTGAAAAATTGCTCTTCAGATTGGTCTCGATTTTGAAGCCAAAGAATCCCTATCGGCTGCATTGTCTGTTGTACTCCCATACGTCTCTATGCTGCCACTGATTTAAATGGGATGTGCTCCCAAGCTGTTGCCCTCGTGTGATTTTAGTTCTAATCACTTGGTTGAAAGACTTGTTGGAATTTTTTGCCTTCTGCGTTTGTTGTTTGTGGTGGAGTCCAAATGCTGCAAAGTAAGGATGCTTTTATCAAAGCAAAATTGTGGTCAAGTTCACATGTTACAGACTTGAGGTTGTGCATCTTGTGCATCAGATCCTTTTGTGTTTGCAGCATCGCAGAAATGAGGATCAGTTGCAGTTTTTACAATACACATTTTAAAAAATATATAATTTCATAATGAGGTGCTTCAAAAGACCGCTGGAATAGAAAGTAGTTGAGAAAACTTCAGATTTGATTAAAATGTAGGCAGGTCTGCAAAGTGAGTTGTGGCCCATAGTTGCTTTCATGCCTAGTAAAACAGGAACAATTATGTGGCACTGCCCATACTGGAAAAAATGCCTGAAACAGATGATAGCATTCATTTTAAGCAAAACATTTTAACTAACACTTCTTGTAGAAATGGTTTTGTGTGGCTCAAGAGCTGCATGTCAGTGATTTTTAAGCAACCAGATTGGCATTTGCTTAACAATGTCTCTGTCTGAGAAAGTGGGGACAGAAACCTTCCTATGCCACCTTAAAGCTCCTGGCAACTTGCCCAGTCTTTCCTGCACAGCCATCACCACCTGTATGGACCCCTGTTCTCTTTTGTCCCTTTTGGTTGAGACAAAACCCTTTGTCTTGACCAACAAGTGGAGAACAAATAGTTGTTTTTCTGTATGGTTCCTGCTTGTTTAACATGCTGAAAAGCTTGGCTTTGTGATCACGCCTAGGCGTCACTTCCCAACAGGGGGCAGCCACAACTGCAGGTCTCATGAAAGGGGACAATGCTGAAGACCACTCACGGTCGCTTTTCCCCTTGCTTTTTGCCTTCTCTCCCACAGATCAAAACCCCCCTTGTCCAAACCAATTATGGAAAGCCATTCGGGGGAGTCTCTCCTGATAGGTGAGTCACCTTAAAAAATCTACCTGTAAAGCAAGCTGGCACTTCCAAAGCAGCTGACACCTCCCCGTTCCCTTCTGCTATGCTTGCCTGTTACCTTTTCCAGGAATATGCTGGTAAACTATGCATGGGCAAATCTGAGACCCCCTGTTTACTTTTCAGCGTTTGCCTTCCTTGAAATGTTCTGGTGTTCTCTGGGTAAGGAACATGAGGTCTCTTTGGACAGGCATGGTCCTTGCCTGCTGCTGACATGCTGCTTGAAGAGGGAAAGTGCTGCAGCAGTCAGCCGCAAGAGCCTTTGCCTTGCTCTCTCTCCTGTGATGATTTCAGCCTCTTCCAGAATGGTCCCTTTGCACAGTCTTTTGGTGCTGTCCTTCGGTTGCCCAGGCTGTTTTATTTGCTGTTTTAATGCCTAAAAGCCAGGGCAGCCAGCAATGATAAATGTCAGACTGAAGACCCAGCCAAATGGACTGGGCCCAGTGAGGGTAAGGGACAAGCCGGTGGGGAGGGGTGCTTCTTCCTGTCTCTCCCTTCCCCGCTCAGCTGTGGCCCTGCTCATCTGAGCGGTGATGCAGGCCCCCTCACAAGCAGTTTGGAGGTCCTGGCTTTGGCAGGTGTAGCATGCAGGGAAACGGCTGATGGCCTCCGAACATGCCTGGCAGCCCGTCCCCGTCCCCTCTGGCACTCCTCAGTCGTCCCCTGGGACGCTGGTGAGAGGCATGAGCGGGGAGAGGGACTCAGCCCCTGCTGTGCCGCTTTGCCACGGGGAATTCCCAACAAGGGTGGGGAGTGCTAGGCGAGTCTGCCTCGAGTTTGTTAAAATTCTTTAAAGCTCACCCTCCTTGTATGGCTGCTGGCAAGGTAGGCCTCTACAAATCTGCAGTGGCCTACTTATTGCCCCCAAATCCTGTAATTCTGTTTAGCTGCCTGCCTCTAAAGTATAGTTGCTCTTATACTGGTTTTAAAGTTTTCCCTTTTGAAAAATAAGGACATTTTAAACTAGCCATTTAATTTGTTTTTCCAAAGTAATTAGCTCAGCAGAAGTGTGGCCAGCCTGTGTGGCTACACGTACGTGACATAGATGCTCATGGCCTCAAGGGGCCACCACATTTCCATGTCTCATTGCCTAGATGTGATTCCTTCTAACCACAGATGAGGAAGCTATTAACAAAACTACTTTCACTACTAATTATTCTGCAGATGCTCACAGCCTAGACTCCAGCCGATATGCCATAATTGGAGCAGATCTTCGAGACCTGCCAAAGCTAGAGGAAAACCTGAAGAAATGCAACATGGATCCTCAGTAAGATTCCGTTTCAAAGACATTGTTTATAAAAGCCTTAACTATGATTGCTCTGGAGATGCACAGAACGGGAGAACTTTAATTAAACTTCAGTGCAAAGTCCAGTAGGAAATCCACTTTACCTAGAAGGTTTGACATGATAAAGTGTGTGTGGACATGCACAAAGCAAGGCTGTCCTGATTTCGTTTCTTGGGTCTGGTGACTCTTTACTTCATAGCACTCATAGCATGCCCCCTCTACCCTCCCATGGCATCCATGTTTTCATGAGTTTTATTTGTATCTCTGTCCGTTATTGCTATAGTTTTCCTCCAGTAACAATCCAGCCCTCCTTGTCAGCACTGCTCCCCTGGCACTGATGTGCTCTAGCTGCCAAGATGCCAGTCAAAGGCTTGGGTTTCTCTTTGTGAGCCCTGGGGAGCCAGGCCTTTGAAATCAGTGGCAGTGTGCAGACTACACACCTGTGGGGGACAGGTGTACGGGCAAGCCTTTTCATCCCGCCAGTTCTTCCTTGACCTGCCGACAGAGCTTCTCTGGGAACTCCTGCTGCTTCTGGTTTCCCGTCTGCTTTTTGGCTGTCAGTATTCAGAAGTAGCCCTGCAGGCAAAATTACCTGGTTGTCTGTGCCATGTCAGTGGGCTGGGTGGGTAAGTGCTGGATTTTCCTTCGCTGGACCTCATGGCATTCTGGGATCCAGAAGAAAAGAATCTGCTCTGACTTTGTTCTCTGTACTTTACTCCTTTTCTTCACCCTGAAAAAGTTTGCCGACTCTGCTGGTGGCGGAATGTGTGCTGATCTACATGACCCAGGAGCATTCAGCATCCCTCCTCAAGTGGGTGGCAGGCATGTTCCAGACTGCCATGTTCATAAATTATGAGCAGGTGAGCTGCCATTGCTCCAGTGACATGTGTCCCAGGTCCAAATTCCACGTGAGAAATGAGTGAAGGTGAGAGACTAGCGCTCTGCCCTTCCAGTCAGAATTGCCAGCTTTCCGATTGCAGGAGCTTTGGTTTTAGGGTTGTCATTGTGAGGTGGCGGAACAGTTCTGAGGAGAATTGGAGATCAGGGTTCTTCATGCTTGTGGGGTCCCTTCCCAGACACACAATGCCATGGTGGAGCCTTCGTTTTATTGACGAGAACAGCTGCTGAGTCAGAGGTGGCTGAACTCAAGGGAAGGGCTTTGTGAGCAGTCTTACATAACTTTATGAAATGCTAATTGCCTAATGCTGAGACAGCCTTGGCAGCTGGAGTGGAACTGAAGCCAAATCCACCTGAAAGGAGAAATTGCTGGTTGCTAGGTGGGGGTGGGAGTCCAGATAGATTTGATACCCTGGATTTGCATATGAATCCAGGAGGAGACAAAGAGTGAGGCGGTGGGTGGGCGGGTGGGTGGGTGGGGTAGGCTTCTGGTGATCCACTGGAACAAGCTGTTCCTACTTAGATTTCTAGCATTCTATTGACACTTCCTTCCTGATTTCAAATTGCCATCCTAGAATTAATAAACTGACTGCCCTGGTGATCCTAGCAAAGGCACCAGTAATGTTGGGATTGTGCTCTGGTGCTCCGGGGACTTGATTTTTTTAGGAACCAGTGCTAGGATTTATATCGAGCCTGCATAAAGCTTGTGATGGTCTACCTGGAGTGGAAGATCATTGCTCAGTGGTCTCATGGGGTGGTACTAAATACAGAAAAGCTCCAGCACTCAGGCCCATAGGACAAAAAAGTGCACATTTCCTGATGCTAACTTGCATATGCTCTGGAGTCTGTTTGCTCGGGCGTCTTTAAAGGACCCCGTCTGCTATGAATTCTTCTATTTGTCAAAGGGGCTGCATGGGCAGGGAACGAGGCATTTGATTTCAGGAAAAGACCTTGGGCAGAGGGAGTCAAGGGCCAGGCAGCAGGAGGTGATGCATGTGTGGACAGAAAGCTCATGTGTGGCAGAGTCAGGAGGGTCGTGGCCTGTGTTTCAGCAAGGGCTTGCAGGGGTTCTGGGCTCTAGCCCTAGCAGGCCATCCCATGGCGCTGCCTTGCCACCTCTAGAGATTACTCCTGTGAGGAGAAAGAAACTGGACCTCTCAGTCTGACATTTCTTTGCCCATGCCCATTCTCTGCAGAGCCAATCAAATGTGGCAAGGCCCTAGCAGTTATTTTGCTTCTGCTAGGGGCAGACAGTTGTACCGCTGAGCCCCCTGCCCCTTTCTCTTGTCAGAAGAACTAGGGTTAATTCCCACTCAGTTGTGTAAATCTGCTTGGCTGCTGAGCCTGTCAGGAAATATTCCTCTGGTGATACCTGATATTTTAGAGGTCTGGTCTGCAGTTTTTTGTGTTGGAGCATTGGCTCTCTGGAACATTTCTGGGTTTTCAGTGTGTGTTGGAGTGTCCCTTTCCCAACAAGCATTTCCAGCAAGGTAATTTTTCTTTTTTACAGATTGTTTTTGTATATTAGAAAAATAAATTATTCATAAATAGCATTAAATATATCTTTCCTTAGATACCAGTCCCATGTTGCTAAGTATATTTCCACAGTTGAGGACTAAAACCTTGCTTTTAAAAAAATGTCATGGAAGCAGGCAACCTCAAGCTGTGTTGCGCTGCTCAAGGTGAACATCTCAGTCTTAAGAGAGGGCACGCTCTCCATGCTTGCAAGCCTCATATGGGTCTAAGGATAGAAGACTTCTGGGTCTGAAGTACTTATGGGGTAAAGCAAGAGGGCTGTGGGTGCCTGCTCCCCGACTGCGAAGCCAGTGGAATGCTAACCCGTTGCAGATCTGATGCGGCTTTCAGCCCTTCTCCTGCATCTGCTTCAGGTGAACATGGCCGATCGCTTTGGGCAGATCATGATCGAGAATTTGCAGAGCAGGCAGTGCAACCTGGTTGGTGTGGACAGCTGCCGATCTCTGGATACCCAGGTCAGATGCTTCTGGGTGGGAGGGACTTGTCTTGGCCCATCTTCCCCTGGAATGGTAGTTTGGCTCCCATCGTAGAGTTTGCCTCCAGACCTGACTGTGTTATTTCAGAATTTGCTCCATGCTGCTGCAGACCAAATCATAGATCCCACTTGGCCATGGATAATTCCTTTGTTGGGGAGAAGGAAAATGGTCCTTCAGGGATACAATACACTGTACCATCGAGCCAGTTTCTGCTGGAAAAGTGAGGTGTATCTTGGGCTCAGGGCCACAGCCTCCTCCCCCTTCTCAGCTGACTCTTTTCACCATATTCCATTTGCAGAAAGAGCGGTTCATGCTCAGCGGCTGGGAAACAGCAAATGCCATAGATATGATGAAGGTCTATGCTCACTTGCCACCAGATGATGTCAAAAGGTAAGCTGCCTCTCGTCCCTGGTAACCCATTGAGAGCTCACAGTCTGCTTGCTTACAATAAAAACACAAATATCGAAATAATTGCTGATAACACCATGAGAGTGGCTTCAAGGGAAACCATATATAGGGGATCAACCCTCCAAAAATAAGTGGAAAGTTTGGCAGTGTAATAGCTCTTAAGGGGCTCTTAAAGGTTGCAGGAGGGGAGTTCTTCAGAGTCCCTGAGGGAAGGAGTTTCCCAGTTGGGGCTCCCTGCTGAGAAGGCCCTGCCCCGTGGACCCTGGCAAGTTGATCTGTCGTAATGGTGGGCCAGAGAGCAGGACCTGCCCCTTCTGAGGTTGGTCTTTGGTCCATTCAGGTTCATGAGGGCCTATGCAGCCATCTAGTAAACTGGTCCCGGATCATTCAGAGTGTTGAAGGTTATAATTAGCGCTTTAAATTGAGCCTGGAAACAAATCGGAAAGCAATGCTAATTTGCTGTGATATGATCACATAACCTGCCCCCCTGCAGAGATTCTGACAACTGAGCTTGGCACCAGCTGAAGTCGCAGGATTATTTTCAAAGACCCTGCAGTGCAGAGAGCATCACATTGGGTTAGGCTGGCTGTAACCCATGTGCTAGTAACAGGTCAGGGCTTGTGTCTCCAGAGCATTTGGTTGAAGGGGCCTCCAGGACGCATGCCTAGAAACTGAACCCCACCCAAAACTGCCTGCAAACACCTCTCCAAGTGCACAGCTTTCCCAAGCATCTGTACTTCTGCCTTATCTGGACTAAGCCTCACTTTAGCTGCCTTTACCCATCCCAGAATTGCTTCCAGACACCTGTTTAAGGTTTTCACTGCTGCACTGGGATTCATAGATGGAAATGAGAAGTGAAATTGTAGGTCGTTTACGCACACGGTCACCTCAGCCCTGCCCTAACCTCTTTGTGGCCCCACCTAGTGCAAAAGGACATGGCAGGATGGGCTGGGATCCTGAAGTGCCCCAGGGCTGAGCGCTGTAGGATGGAATGGGAGGCCGCGAGGAACGCCTCCTGGGTCTGCCCCTTCAGAGAGGACTGGGGGCTGTGCTAGCCCAGCTAGGCAGCAGAAAGGACCCCCCCCCCCACCCTGCAAGCCGCCATTGCTGTCCTTGAGGTGCCACCGCAGAAGCTGCCAAGCACCTAGTTACCTCCAGGGGAACGCTCAGTAGTCCTGTACAGCTGCCTGTGTGTTTTCGGTGTTGGGTATGCTATGTAATTCTCTTCCAAGGTGAAAAGCCTTCCTGGAGCTGCTGCTGCCCAGGGCTTGTCCAGGGCAGCCGCCCAATGTTCCCCAGTGGCATGACCAGTCCCAGGGACTTGGGCTTGCAGCTTGTCCCTTTCTGCCTGTAGGAGCAGGAGCCGTCATCTATTGCATGGGTCTTCTGCCCCTCAAGGGGCTCGGGGGCAGCATGGAAGAGGCTCCGATTTTATGCTGGCAACAGCCTTGCAAGGAAGGGTGGCGTGAGAGAAGGTGCTGCACAGCGAGTTTTGTGGCTGGCCAGGGATTGGGTCCCATATCGTTCTGGTTCCAGCCCAGCACTCTTTGCTTGGCCGCGTGGGCATTCTGGCCTGAGGTGCTACCGTGAGCATGTACACTGCTGTCTTTCCTGTTTTCCTTCCTTGCAGGATAGAGGCGCTCGAGTTTCTTGATGAGAAGGAACTGCTCGAACAACTCATGCAACATTACTGCCTGTGTTGGGCTACCAGAGACTCCTCACATCTGGGTACGGTCCCCCTGTTGGACAGCCCATTCCATTCTTGAGGGATAAGGAAGGGTTGAAGGGGCTCTCTTGAGATCTTGGCCCTTCCCCGCTGCTCTGGGCGGCTGGCAGTGCGGGCCTCCCCCTCCTCTTCGCGTCTGCCTTTTCCTCCAGCTTCCCCAGATGTTGGCCTCCCTGCGCTGCTGCTGGAGACCCGGCTGCGTGCGTGGGGCTCCCGTTCCTCCACCGCGCCAAGCCGGTGTGGCAGTGGGGATGGTGGCCTCTTTCCACGCCAGTGGCCATTCTGGAGACGCTTGTGGTGCCAAGATTAGGGCAGTGTTGTCTGCACAGGTGGCCGCTCCAGTGTTGCGCCTCTGCCTACTTGCCTCATGGGTGCTCGGGCAGCAGCTCAGCCCTGGGATGGCGGCCTTTGCAACCACGAGAAAGCGGCTGATACAAAGATGTGCCTTTCCTGAGCGGGGCCAGCACACGTGGTTGCTCCCCTCTGAGAACCGAAAGGTGGCTCAGGGCAGTGGTCCCCAGCCTTGCTGGCACCAGGGACGGTTTCGTGGAAGACCGTTTTTCCATGGACTGGGGAGTGGGGGATGGTTCTGGGATGATTCAGGCACATTGCATTTACTGTGCACTTTATTTTTATTGTTGTTATACTGTAATGAAAATGTGATGCCGGCGCTGGGGAGCGGCTGCAAACGCAGAGGAAGCTTTGCCTGCTTGCCCACCACTCAGCTCCTCCTGGGCGGCCCACTTCCTAACAGGACATGGACTAGTGCTGGTCCACAGCCTGGGAGTTGGGGACCCATGGCTTAGAGGACTGTTTGTTTATTTAAAGTATTTGTATGCTGCCTATTGTGCCATAGCATCTCTAGGCAGCTCACAATCCGAACTAAAAACCATTATAAAATTAATTATGCACTAAAAGTCACAGCAGTGAGTAAAAATACAAATAAGCCTTTGTGGCCTCAGATATTAGAACGTTTTTTTAAAGGCAGGTCTTAGTCTGGCGCCAAGAATATAAGAGAGCGTTCCAGATACGGGGAGCAGCAGCCAAGGCCCTCTTCCCAGCAGCCGTTCGTCTCGCATCTCTGCGGGATGGCCACACGGGGGGCCCTGCGTGGATCTCAAGGCCGGGTGGGCACGCATGGCTGCAAGCGCTCCCTGAGGTCACCAGGGTCGGAGCCGTTCAGGGCTTTATATGTCGGCACAAGCACCCTGAGTTGGACCTGGGCCACAATGGGTAACCCATGTAGATTTTTCAGAACAGGTGTATGTGGGCCACTCTGGGAGCTCCTGTTACTGACCAAGTGGCCCGGTTCTGTACCAGTTGTAACTCAAAGGATCTTTGCAGGGTTGTTCACATCATGTTCTTTTTAAAAAGACATTCTGGGGGCATTGGGGGTGGAGCGTGGCGCTCAGCCACACGGCACCACCCCGGGGGCTGCCTCTTGACGTGCCGCCCCGCACCGTCCCCTTCTCCCCTTGCTCTCTCTCCGCAGGTCTGGCAGGGATCACGCTCTGATGCAGCAGCTCTGGAGGAACTCAGGGAGAATCTGCCGCCCCGTCTGCTCAGCCCACTCCCCCCGCCAACAGCACCTTGAGGAGAACGGGGGCAGTGGCACATTTCCAGGGGCGGCCTTCCCCTTCCTTGGCGCTTGGCATCCTGCAGCCTTGCATAAATGACTTCCGGTCGCCAGCAGCTGAAGAGAGCCTTCGCCCCTTTTCCAGGGGCCAGTGCTTTGGAACTGGTATGGACACAGTGGCTTTTGCTGCTCGTGTGAGTGACGCCTGATGCACTGGACTTGCACGTCCTCGTGGTGGGGCTGGGAGTGGGACGAGCGAGGCTGGGTGTGGGGGTGAAAGATCGGAGGGCACTTCCTGCTCAGCCGGTGCTGGAAGCTCCTCCTCCTGCCTGTCACATTGTGTGTCTTTGATTCTGTGGAATGTTTGCTCCTGGTATTCCTCCAGCCTCTGCTGCAGTGAAAAATTTGACCCTTCTGTGTGAAGCCGCTCAGCTGTGTCAAGGCAGAGCTGGCTGCCTTCTGGACGGCGACTCTGCTGCTTGCCAGGACTGCAGGCAGTATTGTGCTGTCAGCCCCCCGTGTGGCCGCTCCCCTCCTAGGCTCTGTTGAAACAACCTCTTAACCTGCCCACAGCAAGGGTTAATAAGTGGTGGATTTTTGTAATACGCCATGCCTTCTTTTGGTTTCCCCCAACACACCCTGGCTTGATCCATCAGACCTCGTCTCCAGTTCCTCAGAGGTGGAATCGGGAACAAACATGAGTGGTTTTTATTCAGCGTTAACAGCTCTGTGGTGCATTACTGGTTAAAAAGCTGTCAGGGTGATGTACAACAAGGTCAAACAATAAAATGTTAACACAGGAAAAATGTGACATGTCAGAGACACATAATTTAATGCCCACTCCCCTGCAGTTTTTAAAATGGCTGGGCGGGTCTGGAACAATATAGGCTATTCCTGAGAGTCAGGCTAGATCTGGGCATCAAGTGTGCCGCTTTGCAGGTCCAGTCTCTGCAGTCCACATGGAGAATAAATAGCTAAGCCTTCATTTGCTCTAGCCGTTGAGAGAGCCAGGAGCAAGGCTACAGTTTAACATGGCGGTTCCTCCAAGAAAGCCATCCCTTGCAGCGTCAGGGAGAGGACATTTCAAGTAATTCTTCTGCTTGGAATAACCAAGTTTCTGGCATTCTGCCATCTGTTTAAATAATGTTTTGTTTAGGATTTTTTTTATTAGTATGTTTCATTATGTTCCAGTTACATCCCATAAATAACTCAAAAATAGTTACTATGTTCAATAAAATATCAAAGCACTCGGTATCTTATCTTCAGAATGCAGCACAAACACCTTTATCGGCCAGGCTTCTTGTTGCTCACTGGGAGTTCGCACGGGGGCAGATCCTTTGGGAGGCAAGGAGTGAACCTGTTCGCCTTTCCTTCCCGACCTGAAGCAGTTGGCAGAAGTTGAACGCCGCAGTGCTGGTGCCAGGGCTGGACTCGGCCTGTTTTGCTGGGCCGCTGGTGTGCTTCCCCATTCTTTTAAGCCCAGGCATGCGGTCGGACTTTGGGTTGCCCTGACCTTGTGCTTGGCTCTTTGGAGGGATTCAGCCGTGGCCCTCCGAGCCTTGCAGCCGTGTGTCGAGCGTGGTGGGCTCAGGGCTGTGCGTGGCTCGGCTGCGCTCCGGTCCGTCCTTGATTGTGGGGAGGAGTCACTGAGAAGGGGCATCCTCATGAGGCAGAGTCTGCAGGCCAGCCTTGTTCCCACGCCGCTCGGCCTGCGATTCCTGGGCTCGAGCTGCCCGAGGCACGCCGGTTCCTGTTCCAGTCTGATACCTGGAATAGCTTGGATTTAGAGGGCAGACTCCCTCAGAGCAGCCCATTCCCGTTGTTCTGAGCATCTTCTGAGACTCGGGCAGAGATGCCACAGAAAGCCTCCTCGGGGTGGGAAGCCAGGAATAATCTGCTTCAGAAATGAGTCAGTGAGCCAATTGCACGGAATGCATCAGGCTGGTCCACCCAGATGCTGATGGGAAGATGGCCAGACCCACATAGTGAGTCATGCCAAATCACTGCAGGCAGCCGTGGCTTCTGTGGGTGGATCCCTTGGGGAAAATGATACGTTCCTCGCTAAACGCAGCTCAGGTGCGTGTCGCCAGCTCCCCAAGGATGATGGCAGTTGAGCAGCGACTCCGCTGCTGCTGGGGTGGTGGGCGAGGCTCCAGCTCTCCCTGGAGGAAGAGGGCTCTCCCCGTGGCTGTTAGTCGTGCGTTCAGAGGCAAACTGGCGAGTACAGCCCGGTCGCAAGGGGAAGGCTGTGCTCTCGCAGCCTCCCTGGTGGGCCATGGTTGGAAATCGTTTGATAAACCCTAAAGGCTGATAAGCCCTCAGGGTTTCTGGTCTCTCTCGTTCAGGTAGATGCACTCTCGAGCCGGAAAGGAAGATGGTGACTTGGCAGAGAGGGGTTCAAGGCATGGGCTTCCCAAGGAGAGGCCATGCTGCAGAGAGCCAGTGTGGTGTGGTCAGGAGGGTGGGGCTGGGGCAGGCAATCTGGGCTCCCGTCCCCACTCAGCCGGGCACCTGGCTGGGGGGCCTTTGGCCGGTCACGGACTCTCAGCCCGAGCTCTCTCACAGGGCTGCTGTTGGGAGGGGCAGCGGGAGAGGAGGAGGAGGAGGAGAGCCGTGTGAGCCACCTTGAGCGCTTCTGGGCAGGACCAGAGGCAGGATATGAACGAGTGGTGTGCAGAGTCATTCGCCCTTTATAGTAGATTAATTTCCAGTTTCTTAGTGGCACAAAATTTGAGTGGTCCCTTTGCATCAAAGTCCACCTTTGGGTACCCAACGCCATGGACTGTGATGTGTCATTTGTTCTTGAGGTTTGGGAGATCTGTGGTGCAAGGGGAAGGTAAACTGGAATTTTGGTTGCCATGGCAAAGCATGGAGGCCTCGGCGGGTGCTGGCTGGGGCTTCCGAGGCAATTCTTGCAAATGCTTCCTGACAGTTTTTGTCTGTCACACCCTCTTTACACTTTGTTGTAGTCAAGGGCATTGTCCGTGCTGTGCTGTGCGGGAAATGCTCGCTCGCTCACTCCCCTTCCTTTTATCTGCCGTGTTCAGGGGACTGGGCTTTTCAGTGGTCTTCCTTGCAAAACTCCCAAGTGCAGCATTTGTGTTCTGGGGAGCAGATCTGCTGTTAAAAGCTGTCTCCAAACAGTGCGGCCCACCAGCAGCCCCCGTTCTGCTGCTGAGTAGCCGCTTGAAACATGCGCTTCTGTCCCTGCCCTTTCTTGCTGCTGCATTTTGGCTGGGAGCCCTCACGCTTACCAGTGGCTAAGAACAGCATTGCTCCAAACAGCACCCCCAGCAGACCCCTGCCTTCCACAAGCCCAAACTTGCATAACTCTGGAGAAAACAGCAGGGGCTTCTGTGGTATCTTTGTTGTTCACCTGTTGTATCTGACCACAAGCAATCCTTTCTTTGATATCCTATAGTATCTTTAGGGGCTAGAAAAGGACTCTGGCCTGAATAACCAAGGGATGGGCTTCCCCTTACAAGGACTGGCAAGACGGTGCTTGGCCTCGCAGGAGGAAGCCTATTCAGGAGGGCTTTGCATGGAATCCTGCAGGAGGGGGAGATGCACACCTGGGCACCGCAACAGGCAAAGGCTTACGCACCACAGGAGAGGGAGCTGCTCAGACAGTGCCCAGTAATGTTCTTCCAAGAAATGCAGGAAGGAAGCTAGAGGAGAAACATCGGAGACCATATGCTTTTATGTACTGATGTCCAGAGGATGGGCAACAAACAGCATGAACTTGAATTTTTAATGCAACCTGGTTGGTGTAACCAAAACTTGGTGGGATGACTTCCATGATCGGAATTCAACGATTCAGGAAGAACAGAAGGAACATAAGGGAAGGTGGAGTTGCACTGTATGTTAAAGATACGTTAAAATCGATTCATGGATCACCCAATCAAGGAAAAGATGAGGATGAAACTTTTGAAAAGCAAATGGCCAGTGTTTCAAGGAGGCAGGATGTCGTTATTTCGAACTTCAATTTCCCTGATATCTGTTGGGAGACAAATTCTGCCAAACGTGTTAGATTTCTAACATGTGTTGCTGATAACTTCCTTCTACAGAAAGTGGAAGAAGAAAGAACCTGGAAACTACAGACCAGTCATTCTGACATCGATCCCTGGGAAAATGAGCAAATGATAAAGTGGTCAGTATGCAAACATCCTGAAAACAATGCAGAAATCACTAGAAGCCAGCATGCATTTGCCTAGAACAAATCCTGCCATGACTGGGATCTTTAGCCTGAAGAAGAGAGGACTGAGGGGAGACGTGGGAGCTCCTACAAGTACTGGAAAGGTGGTCACAAGGAGAGAGGCCAGGATCTCTTCTGGATCATCCCAGAGTGCAGGACATGGAATAACAGGCTCAAGTTACTGCAAGCAGGTTCGAGCTGGACAGAGAAACCGCGCGAGTCAGAAGGGACCTCCCGGGCCATCTAGTCTGACCCCCGGCTCCACTCACGACATGCCCACCATGTGCACGTCCAGCCTATCCTAGAACACCCTCACCAATGGGGCCTCCACCACCTCCCGTGGAAGCCCACTCCACACCCTTGGGGTCCCGACTGTCAGGAAGTGCTTCCTGGCATCCAAAGAGAACCTTGGCTCCCTGAGCTTTGCTCCGTTGCAGCGCGTCCTGCCTTCCTCTGCAGGGGAGAACAGGTCTCTGCCCACCTCCGTGTGACACCCCCTCACATACCTGCATGTCGCCAACAGCTCTTCAGCAAGGGGCGGCATAGAAATGTTCTAATAATAATAATAATAATAATAGTAATAATAAGATCCCCTCTGGTCAAGAGGGTCTCGCTGGATTATTCCAGAGAGGGTTACATTTTAAAGAAGTGTTGCCTGCCTTTGCCTCTTTTGGTAACCGGTTTTCCTTCTGCTAATTGCACATAGAATCATGGATTTGTAGAGCTGGAACGGGTCAGAGGGTCAGCAGGTCCAGCCCACTGTTCAGTGCAGGACTCCCAGTTAAACACTTCCTCTTGGATGGCAGTCCAGTTGCATCTGGAATTCCTCCAGGGTGGGAGAGCTCACCACCTCCCCGGGTCATGGGTGCCACTACTGTACTGCTCGCACAGTCAGGAGGCTCCAAGGTTCAGTTGGAACCTGGCTTCCCACAGTCAGGAAGTTCGTCCTGATCTCTAGCCAGAATCTCCTGTAACTTGAGCCCAGTGTACCATGTCCTGCACTCTGGGGTGATCAAGAAGAGATCCTGGCCTTTCTGCTTGCAACACCCTTTCAAGCCCTTGTAGCGTGCTGTCGTATCTCCCTCGAGTCTTCTCCAGGCTAAGCGATACCCCGTTCTTTCAGTCCGTCCTCACAGGGCTTGGTGTCCAGTCCCTGGATCACCCCAGCCACCGCACAGCACTGCACTGCAGCGGCCTTCTAGGCTTAGCGCTGGAGGAAATGAGCGCTGGGGGGCAGGCGTGGTGAAGCCCACTCTCAGCCAGCTGTGGGAAGCTGGTGCTTCTCACCTGGGTTGCACTTGGAGGCCTGTGGCTCGGATCTTTATGCCGCCTTTAATCTTTTTGGCTCTGCGAAAACTCGCTTGGGCCCCTTTTTGCATTTCAGAGCCGGGAGTGGCTCGCTGAGGTTGCTCTCTTGCCTGAGTGGCTTTTGAAGTGCCTGCCTTCACATTTGGTGTTGGTGCTCGTGGGATGTGAGCCTCGCTGCCCTGTGTTGCCGTTTCCGTCTGGGCCTTTTATCTCAAAGCTTATCTTCTGCCGAGCCCAACAGAATCCATTCTTTCATTTGCGTTAAATGCTGAAGTAAATACAAGTTGCTGCAAGGAAGCGAGCTTAGATGATAGCCCCATTTAGGGGATCCTTTAATTTACCTTGGTGTGGCCAACTTACCCAGGATATTGAGCGGATCTGTAAGATGCTGCATGGGGCTGCCCTTGAAGGCAATCCAGAAGCTTCAGCTTGTGCAACACATGGCAGCTAGACTAATACCGAGGGTTGCCGGAAGGTCTGAAGATGCAACGCCAGTTCTGGCCTGCGTTCACTGGCTGCTGCATGTCCACCTAAACCAGCTGTGGTCATCAGGCAACCCAGAGTTCTAAATTATGAGAAGAGCGGTCTTGCCTCTCTCTGCCACGCTCCATTTTTAGTGCACCTCTGTGATTTCCCACTTAGACGTCTTTTTAAAGCTAAGAAGCTCCAAAGTTGCAGCCTTATTCCCTGCAGAAATTGTCCCAGACCCTTAGTCATCCAGGTTGCCTTTTTGTGTGCCTGTTCCAGCT